CATTAATTATGAAACTGATTGAAAAATTCCACATAGTTTACGTACGCTCCAAGCATATAAATCTGCCGCGTCCATCTGTCATTCAAGATACAGAAGATTCAAATTTGTCCATTCCTTGTCAAGTAGAAATGAAATTTTATAAGTACATGACTTTTGAAGTAGGGCAGAATACAGTCGTGAACTCCTTGTTGGATGGAAGGTGGACTGTCTGCAAATACAAAGTCATACGTAAAGACAGCAACGGTAGGTCGGATTGTACACAGTGGCGACTTTTTTATATTTTGTGTATGAAAAATTTCTCCATAGTTAATTAGGCCACCACGAATGAGTCCTATATCCGTGATTGCACAGTAGCGCACAATATTAAAGAAGACAAATAAATAAATAAATAATCTTATTTTTGGTATTGTTCGGTGGAGTCGAATCGAGTGCAACTACGTGTCAAATATGCCGCAAGTGATATAAGCATTTCTTGATCTATATAAGGAATCCTTTATGGGATTTCTTCAATATTAATCCCACAATTCAGAACCAATCGAACAATGCAGGATAGTGACATGGAACTCTTGTTTCTTTCTATTATCCTCCTCCTAACTCTCTTTCTTTCTCTCTCTCTAAAAATACTTTTCTCAAGACCTAAAAAAACCACCAATGGAAATACCAAACTTCCACCAGGGAAAACTGGCTGGCCTATCGTAGGAGAAACCCTGGAATTTCTGTCGATGGGACGGAAAGGAACCCCGGAAAAATTTTTCGAAAAAAGAATGAGCAAATTTTCACCTGATATTTTCAAAACTTCATTACTTGGTGAAAAAACAGCAGTTCTTTGTGGATCTGCTGGAAATAAGTTCTTATTTTCCAATGAAAATAAGCTTGTCACTTCCTGGTGGCCAAGAAATGTTGAGAAAATTTTCCCTACTTCTCTACAAACCTCAACCAAAGAAGAATCAATTAAAATGCGTAAACTCCTGCCGGGTTTTTTAAAACCTGATGCATTGCAGAAATACGTGGGAATTATGGACTCCATTGCTCGAGAACATCTCAAAATCAACTGGGATTGCAACAGAGAAATCACTGTTTTACCACTTGCAAAACAGTATACTTTTGCGGTGGCATGTAAATTGTTCTTGAGCATTGATGATCCAAAACACATTGCAAAATTTGAGAAGCCTTTTCATGTTTTGGTTGCTGGAGTTTTATCCATACCCATAAACTTACCTGGTACTCCTTTTAATCGCGCAATTAAAGCTGCAAATTTGATCAGAAAGGAGCTCCTGGAAATAATCAGGCGACGTAAAATTGAGCTGATGGAGAAAAAATCGATGTCTATTCAGGACATTTTATCCCATATGCTAACTACCACAGATGAAAATGGTCAGTTTATGACTGATTTGGATATTGCTGATAAGATAATTGGTTTGCTTATCGGTGGCCATGACACTGCAAGTGCTGCTATTACTTTCATCATGAAATATCTTGCTGAGCTTCCAGAAATTTACAATTGTGTTCTGAAAGGTAATTCACTTGTTTTATAAGCTATTTGAATTTGAAATATTTACAATTTTATTTATTTACATTTAGTCTTCACCATGCTCCTCGCTTGCAAACTTGATTCATATTTCATCAAATTAGACATGTCGTGTGCATATTTCCATTTTCCAATGATACGTACAAACTTGAGCTGTTAGAGACGGGATACATTTATTTATGTATGCACAGAGCAAAGGGGGATTGCAGAGGGGAAACGACCGGGAGAGCTCCTAAACTGGGATGACATGCAAAAGATGAAGTTTTCATGGAATGTGGCTAGTGAGGTAATGAGACTAGCGCCTCCACTTCAAGGAAATTTTCGAGAGGCCATTACTGACTTTATGTACGCCGGCTTCTCAATCCCGAAAGGGTGGAAGGTATATCCGCAAACTATTAAGCACCGTTGTGACCATAACACTCACTGCATGGTCGCATTGACATGTAACTATCTAAAAAATAGGAATGAAGATCACTTGTAGAAACAAAATGAAAATATTCAAGAATCAAAAGTTGCATATAATAGTACAAGACAATTTCAACACGAAGTTGTGACAATTATATTATGACAGTTTTTCATACAAATAGTATTATTTACAAAACAATGATTTCTATATCCATAACATGTTAATAATATCTACCTCGCATGTCTCATAAGTAAAAAAATGAATAAAAGTAAGACGTGTTATATGGTGTGTTAGTCAAGAATTCTCGAGTGTCAGTTGATTATAGGTGTCTCATATGTATCGTAACAAAAACATGCCATCTTACAATAAGTTTTGTGATTCATGTTCCACAACTCCAAATCCCCCAGCCACTATGATGACCTTTATATAATATTGTGCATGCAGTTATATTGGACAGGAAATTCGACTCACAAGAACCCAGAGTACTTTCCCGAACCAGAAAAGTTTGATCCATCAAGGTTCGAAGGCAATGGCCCGATTCCTTATACATACGTCCCATTTGGTGGAGGACCAAGGATGTGTCCTGGAAAAGAATATGCTCGACTCGAAATACTTGCTTTTATGTACAACGTTGTGAGAATGTTCAAATGGGAAAAAATCATACCAGATGAGAAGATTGTTGTGGATCCAATGCCTATGCCAGCAAAAGGATTGCCTCTTCGCCTCTATAGCCATTAAAGCTGATATCTGCATCCTATGATATCGGCCGTCACACAGTGGATACTTGCAATTGTAAATGTCACGTTGTGCTTTGTGGGTGTTATGAATATAAAAATAAGGAACTAGCTTATGAATAAGCTATATGTTAAATAAATCACGTTGCTGTAATATGTTTAATGAGTTCGAAGTACTTATTTTCAATCAATTTCCTTTGCAAATAGTTCACAAGTTTCTTGCATTTTATCTTCAAATGTAATCTCTCTGTTTTTAACGTATATTGATATAGTGAGTGTGCGTGTTGGGTGTAGGTATACCACTAACAAGATAGAACCCAGAGTCAGTAAACTAGTTAACCAAAGACTCTTTCACGACTTTCTCAAACAAAAAGTCCAATTTTTTGACCTTTTTTATTTGAGTTGACTTATCGTAGTTGTCACAAACATATGTATTTTACAAATTCTCACAAA